TCGCAAGATCTGGCGGATGCATGCATGATGCCAATACCGTGGTGCGGAGGGGGGGTTGGTAGAATGGTTTTGCAGTTTGAGAGTTGGACGTGAAAGAGGTATGTAGAGGTGGTGATTGCGATTGTCAAGAGTGTGTCGGGTGGCAGCACAATAAGCATAGCATGTGGTTGAGTTTCAGGCTAGCAAAGTGGCTAGATTTCGGAAGAGAAAGGTTGACCAAATAGTAGGTATGTTGTTGAGTGTGTAAAGGCAAGTCGATCAGAAGTATGAGATCCTCGTTAGTATAGTGGTCAGTATACCTGCCTGTCACGCGGGTGACCCGGGTTCAATTCCCGGACGGGGAGCTTCTTTTTCGACTTTCTTCTAGCTAACGACGGAAAATGTCGCCCTGTGCTACGCCAAGAACGTCTTGGACTTTCGTACAGACCTTCGTACAGTCGATATCAAGTGCTTTCGCTCAATGTAAGCCATGAGATTCAGTTCCTGCGCAATAACTCGTATATTTCCCAAATCAAATCGCAAGCACGAAACAACTTGACATGATGTGGACGATGATTCATTTGAAACAATTCGATGGAAGACTTCAGAGCAACAAACAAAGCAATATATTCATACATCTTACCAAACTGAATCTACCTGTTTACGGCGTGGCAGGGAAGTCCATCATCGAAACTTGACGGCGTGCGCGATACGTCTGCTGGGCAAGGCGTCTTCTGTTTCGAATGTCCTCATGAATATGGCGCAGCCGATTCAAAATTCGTCTGCAGTTCTCGCCATCTTCAGCTCTCAATGGAGAGAATCGAATGTGGTAATTTGTCAAACTTGTGCAGAGCCTAAAAATGGTATCGTACAGCTCAGAACTCCACTTGTATTTGTCGTACACAACACCCCAGAGAGTACAATTCCGTCCGAACCAGTTTTCCACAATAATTCTGTCCGACGCAATGCGTTGATTCGTATTGTCCAAGTGCAATGCCAAACGATTTCCGGCATATGCACGTTCAGGAATAATGGAACGAAAAGAATGCTGGGCTCCTTGATACCCACTGTCGGCTAAAAAGGGCCACTCGTCGGGAAAAGTGTCAACCAAGGGACAAGTGTCTTCCATGTGGAGCTCCGAAGGTTTTTTGCCACGGAATGAACCGTGAAATCCATTGCACTGGTCAAAGAGGGTTTTGTCGTGGACAGAGCCTGGCACATGATGACTGACGTTCAAAGCATAGCCCGACGGACTGACAGAGACCTCCACCTTTTTGCCATAAAGTTTGTGTTTGCCGCTGAATACAAACATGGACTCATTGTGGTTTCCCATGGGCCTGTTGCTCTGCTGGAATGTGGCGTCGACAGCGTACAATGCAGCAGGAAAGCTTAGGAACGTCTTCTCAGTGGCAACAAGATTGCTCATTGTACGCAGCTTGGCTTCATCTTGAACATAAGTTTCGTAGACTTAGTCGTGAATTTTCAGCAAAAACTTCGTGACCATTTTTTCAAATGATGAAGCTTGAAGTCCAAACAGGGCAGCCAGGAACTCCCAAGTCCCTCCAGTCTTCACGACAGTGAGCAGCATAAAGAGCATGTCTTTGCCAGAGTAGGGACATTTGCGTCCCTTGCCGACGTTCCATGTACGAAGAACGCTTGGTTTGATGGCGAACCAGAGCGATTCAAATTCGGCTTGAGAAAAATTCGTCATGGAGTGAATACTGTCGAAGACGGGATGAATTGAGTCACCATCGTTTGCGTCATCGTGTGGGGCTGACGAGAAGCGATCACGCTCGTTCTAGCGTTTTGCATTGCGGTTTACGACAGCGAGCGTGGCTTGCCGCACGAGCCGCATATCACGGCGTTGGTTTTGATGCGTGGGGGTTTCGCGGGACATTTTGAGTGCGTTCGAGGGGTTTCAATTGCAAAATGAGGTTCCTTTACATAACTTTTTTAAAGCCTATTGCACAAATGTACTTCGTAAAGGCTTGGCTTTCGCCACTGCCATGAACAACATGCCGAGATCCAAATGGTAGATCAATTTATTGCCTTGTATGTCGACACTTGCACGAAGTTCGAGTTATTTCCAAAATACATGCCGAGATTATCAGTTGACAGGGAGTTTTTCTTGAAATGCAACGAAACACACTTGAGAATGGCTTATCGTGTGAGGTTTAGCTGGTGGACACGAGAGTTCGTGACGCCGAGTCTCGGGTAGGTCGTCTGTACTTGTTGCATGCTGGAGCACCTTGATTTTGCACATTTGCCAAGGCAGGAACCCAAGCAATCAGTTAACATTCTGACGGCTGCTATACATCCGGCCGCGTTGAAAGCGACTGCGGAGCAGCAACTGGCTCGCAGACAGGAGTACACATTACGCCAGTCAATTCCAGTCACTCCATGCATACACGGGAGACCACCCAAAGGTCAGCTCCATTGCCGAACAATGCTAGCGCGGACACGCCATTGACGCTGCAGTGCACGTGGGGCATCCACTTCCTGTCGAGAGCCATGTCG